GAATGATCATAAAGTAGAATAACTCGTAAGTAAAAAAAATTCTAATGCTTGATCACTTGCTGTTAATTCCTAGTATTTTATATTCTTAACTATAATTTAATTTTTACCACAAAATGTTACCAATAATGTAAATTCTACTTGTTTTATTACCATCTTAAACAAAGATTTACATTTTGTTGCCGTTTAAAATGTTTTTAGGTTTGAATAAAAAGTGATATTATTCCCTTTATCAGAGAATTGACTTGTTTCCAGTGAAATATATTTATGAAATAACACATAACAGATAACAGTTAGATATTTTTAAACATTAAAAAAACGAGCAACCATATTTGAAGATAAACAATTGTTTAAATGTAATCAAAACTATTTGTCTGGTGTTTTCTTAAAATTTAGACTTGTAGAGAAGAGCCAGCTACCAAATGTTAAGGTATATTTTATATAATGGAAGCACAATATCATTTAAAACAACAACATAAATTTACGGCATTTTCCTCGAGTTTTCTTTGAACAATAAAGTACTTTACACATTGGAATCATAATTTCATTCCCCAATTTGCCACCTAGTTATTTCGAATTCAGACCACTTATCAATCTTAATAACTCTTGGTGTTTTCTCTTAATCACAATTGTCATTCTTTCCTGGACTTAGCATTTTCCCCATTGTTTTAGTGTGCTTACCAAATACTTTCAAGTAAATCATTTTGCTTAATGGTCTATGAAGCCTATTATAGGCACTACATCGGTAATAGCCTTCGTCCGACCGTAGAGCATTTTTGATGAGAAGGGATCCATTGGTTAAAATCTTTACGCGATCTTCCTGTGAGGACACTTTCAACAAGGTGTCGATATTTTTTGCTGAAATTTAAAGTAAATAAGTAAGAAGGTCAGTAATTCATAAATACTGAATTTCTCTCATATCTCTCTCTCTCTATATATATATATATATACAGATAGATAGATAAACCTCTACAATGTATTTTTACGTAGATATTTACCTGAAAACAGCATACGATTTTTGGTGGGTGTGATTGAAAGTTATCAAATTATGAATATCCTATGAACCAAAGGTGTCACAAACATTAGTAAAAAAACAAACAAAGGTTTTCATAATAGTTAAGAGTTAGTTTAGGTGGAGAATTGTAATCCATGTGGAGGGGCTTCAACAATTTTACTCAATCTTGAAATCAATGTAAAAAAAATAAGTGTTCAAAAGTTGAATGATTTGCCAAAAGGAGTTAGCTTATGAGTTTAAATAAGTTTATTTGAACATATGAGATCCCTCTTCTAATTATGCTAATCATTTTTAATCCCATTTTTACTTCTATTTCCATTTCTGCACTTAACACTATGACTGTATTTAAATATTTAGCAGCTTCTGTGCACAACTGTCTTTCTCTTATTCACAGTTAACTAAGCTTCCTTGTATCGACTACATAAAGATTTATTATATAAGAGTGAAACTTCTTTTCCAGATCAGTGATAAAGACAACTAAAATCTTTGCGATAGTTGTGTTTCATATATGTATTCAAAATATCTAAAAATGTGAATTTCTATCTGTTATTATTATTATGATGGTGATTTTATATAGTGATGATTTATTAAGTATGATGTACTTGTTTATAGAGTTTTTTTGGAGAATCATTTTTAAATGAAAGAAAGTAAGTTGCACCTCATTTGCAGTTGGAATAAATAAGTATAGTATATCCTGCTATATTATCAATATTTGAGTCAGAGCAACTCCAATTGTTTAGAAATAGTTGATACTTACAAATGTAATATTAATCATTAGAATAACTGAAACAGTTGCTTCATACCCGTATTAATGGTTAATGACTCTAGAATAACTGTAACATTTACCTTATACATAAGTAATGGTTAATGACTCTAGAAGAACTATAACAGTTACTTGATACCTAAGTAATGGTTAATGACTCTAGAAAAACTATAACAGTTACTTGATACCTAAGTAATGGTTAATGACCCAAGAAGAACTATAAAAGTTACTTGATACCTAAGTAATGGGTAATGACTTTAGTAGAACTATAACAGATATTTGATACCTAAGTAATGGTTAATGAACCAAGAAGAACTATAAAAGTTACTTGATACCTAAGTAATGGTTAATGACTTTAGTAGAACTATAACAGATATTTGATAGTTATAGTTCTTCTAGAGTCATTAACCATTACTTAGGTATCAAGTAACTGTTATATTTCTTCTAGGGTCATTAACCATTACTTAGGAGTTACTTGATACCTAAGTAATGGTTAATGACCCAAGAAGAACTATAACAGTTACTTGATACCTAAGTAATGGTTAATGACCCTAGAAGAACTATAACGCAGTTCTTCTTGGGTCATTAACCATTACTTAGGTATCAAGTAAATGTTATAGTTCTTGTAGAGTCATTAACCATTACTTAGGTATCAAGTAACTGTTATAGTTTTCTTGAGTCATTAACCATTACTTAGGTATCCGGTAACTGTTATATTTCTTCTAGGGTCATTAACCATTACTTAGGTATCCAGCAACTGTTGCAGTTCTTCTAGGGTCATTACCCATTACTTAGGTATCAAGTAAATAACAGTTACTTGATACCTAAGTAATGGGTAATGACCC